TACTGTAGTACTAAAGTAGTAGTTTTTTTTTTGGTTTTTTTTTTATCTTTTCCCAACTCAAAAAATTACCTCTTTAATATATACATTTTTTTTAATGTATGGCCTCTCAAATCAATTAAATAACACTTGTAAATGCTTAGAATGCTGGACCCCCACCGGGGTTTTGGCCCTGGACCCCAGGGGCCCTTGGCAGCCCCCTGGCCCCAGCCAATGGTGCTCACAAGTGCCCTTTCAGTATGAAAAAGAACCCCCTACCAAAATCCTGGCTACGGGCTTGCATTACGTAGACACTACTGTAATAGTCTACCACCTATACATTTAAGTTCAAGCAAATGTAAGAACAATTTAGCTATCTAAACTTACATCGGCTTTAATGCCGCAAATTGCAAATAGCACAGTCTATTTCTCTTGACTGATCTCACTGATAAGACATTGTAGTTACTCTAGTTTTACAATGGAAGTTTTACAAATGATATGCTATGCCTCCATGGTGAATTAAAATATGTTGTTGAGCAATTCTTTATTTGCTGTAATGTAATCTTTGAGCCTGACAAGAGGGAAATTGATTGTAACACACTTTAAATCATAACAAAAGTAGAGCTTATAATTAAATTCTCTCCCCTGTAAGGGCATAAGCAAAAAATTGCTATAATAAATTCCTATTAATATGACAATTTAGTATAATTTCAGGAGTCATGTATTTGTGTATATGAATGAATATTTCATATTCAACATAAAAAAATGAAAAATTTCTATTTTAAAAAAAGAAACATTTCATTCAAAAAGGTTAAGTTTACTATGCTGGGCCTCCTCTACTTTCAAATTTTAGGATCCACTGCTAGTCTCAGAAATTTTTAGTTCAAGGGGTTGGAATATCTGTATTCCTATTGCCAAATTATTACTCTACAACTAGACTATTAATTAATTACTCTACTAATTTATTACTATAAAAAATTTTTATTTGTACTTAATATTATAATATTCACTTCTATATTAGTTTAATTTATTATCATCAAGTAACATGTGTGTAGTGTATTAGAATATAAATTAGTTATATAAATAGACATCAAAATAAATACATACCTTTATTCTTCATGACTGTATCTTGCTTTGCCGCTGAAAATCGTGATATCTCATCCTGTAGTGATTTCTTTTTCTCTGACGAGCAAGTCCAGCTGGTAGCCTGCTGTATTCCCTTACTACAGCTGTCAGCTCTGTTACCTTCATCATTAAGTGTTATCACAGATGATGCTTCCATCATACTCCCATACTCCATCAACCCAGAGAACTACAGTAATGGTTACCTCCTTTTGTCAGGAAGCTGCATGCTCACACATCACTAATGCATGTGATATTGACTAATGCCCTGGCATATATATCAGACACCTGACAGAAAATAAGGTCACGGTATTTATATTTGATAATTTCAGTTTTCTTTTTATAGTAGTTTAACAACATGAATATTTAAAGTCTAAATAATGCAAAGTTTTAATGTGTTCTCTTGTTAAAAATATATTTTCAAAAAGTTGGTCCTATGTACATTATTATTTTATTTATAAACAAAGAATGAGGTTGCTAGAATTTTAAATAATCTTGGAGTTACTGTACTTTAAAAATGATATGATACTATTGATTTTTTTTGGCATCAAACGCAGATAAATCTATCCACCACCTGAATTCTATTACAAAATCCAAAATACTGTAAGCTTTTATTTGTATCAAAACATCATCGCATCATCATGAATTGGGTTAATAATGCTGACATTCCATGCAAGAACGCAAAATAAAATCCTCTTTAACTTCATCATCTGTAAGTAAAGCTGCCATTGAATATGGGTGGCGCCATCAAAAGGCAGAACGTTTGAGCCCCCATCTGACAGGACCAAAAATCAATTTTTCCTTTTATTTACAATTCTTTAGGAACAATAATGGTGACTAAAATGTTTCAAAACAGATTAAAATTATTTTTAAAAATCAAGCATTTTTTCTAGGTGCCAGTGAGTAAACACCCTACAACCCACAAGGGCTTCAGCCCTGGACCCTGCTAATCTCTGTCCAAAATTGTCAGAAATTTTCCTGCCACTTCCCTGAAAATAAACTTTAACCATTTATGGATCTCACACACCCTTCCATCCTCCCACCCAAACATTCTCCTACTAAGCTCATAAAAATTATCCCCATTACCATTCATCATTTTTGATCAAAATTCCAGACATTTTTTTTCAATAAAAATATTCTTTCTTGAAAGTGAATATCAAACATAAGTTTGACAAATTCTCAATGTTTTCAAACATCCTTTGAATACTAATTCTCCTCTAGTATATGGATTACAATTATATTGATTGTTTTAAGTGCCACACAATGAAGACTTGTCAAATGAATTGATTCTAATAAGGATGATAACATAATATAATAAAAATAATGGTAAAGTTGGTATTTTTTTTTGGTTTTTTTTTTGTTTTTGCATTTTTCACAAATATACACTTTATCAAAGATTACAATCTCAGCCACCTGCTAGTATTAATGTTTAATCTCAATACCGGTAATGAGAACGATAAAATAATTTCCGATGTGTTCACGCCGTACCAAACACAAAATTAAAAAGCTACAAAATAAGCTGTCGGTAAGCGTAGGCTGGTCCAGGTACCCAAGGAAGTATTAAAATAGTGTGACTCTCTTAACCTTTGGAATTGCAGCTGAGGACATAGCTTCTATTGATTTTTATATAAAAAAAATAGACATCAATATCCATAACAATCTATTTCCTATGTCACACATCGTTTTTGTGCAGCATTTTTTTTAAGGTGCATCAGATCCTCGTTATTAAAAATCAGCTTTTTCATATGACAATTATCCATAAATTTTTCCCCCTTTGACAGTTCAAAATAAACTGACTGCGCTTTTACATGCAAATTTATAAACTAACTATTAAATCTATGCTATTACAACTTTGATATTATTTTATTGTTGAAACTATTATCATTAATATTTTTATTACTATTAATATTGCTTTTATCATTACAATTTAATTTAATCTTATATTCTACGAAAAAAAATTTTCTACCAGCAATTTTTTAAGATTGTTCATAAAAAGTGACCATGATAACATACCTGATCCTTAAAAAGCAATTCAGGAGTGTTTTAATTTAAAATTTAGAGTTTCTATCAATTTTACTATTAGACAAAAATTAAATATGGTATGTAACAAAGACTGCCTTAGTTTTTAAAACTCAAAATATAAATTACAGTACATGTACATTGTACAGTAGGACCACTTCTGTCAGGTTTATTTTTCTATGGGTAGGCCAACTAAAACATACTGCACTCTAATACAAGTTACTTCTGTCAGGTTTATTTTTCTATGGGTAGGCCGACTAAAACATACTGCACTCTAATACAAGTTACTTCTGTCAGGTTTATTTTTCTATGGGTAGGCCGACTAAAACATACTGCACTCTAATACAAGGACTTCTATTGAAAATCTTGCCCTTATATTTAGGCTTTGAATTTCAGTGAGACTATTCTTAGGTAAACTTACCCAATTAAGTCAATAAAGGTGTATGGAGCTCTTACCTGGACTACAATAAGGTGATTTTACATCTGAGACCAAAACCTATCAAGAAGCTGATGCACAACCATCATGAAGTAAGGCAAACTAAAATGTACATCAATAAACCCAGAAACAAGAGTACAGAATTTCTTGGAGGAGGAACAATATACCACACAGAAACCAGTCTGAGAAAGAGGTAAATTTCAAATGGATGTTGAGAACAATAGAGACATCTAGGCAACGGTATAAAAAAGGTGGTGACCCCAGCACAATACACAGGCTTAATCAATACTTTAATTCAATACAACTAAAAGGTATTTATATACATTCTTTAGCAACTGTCGATCACTGACTGAAGAAGGCAATAGTTAGCAAGACCAGGGAGTTGTTCCAAGACACATTAGATTTAGTTTTATAGTTGAAATAAGCCAATCATTTTGTAATGATTATTCATTTTTATTATATTTAGCAATTAATTATAAGTTTATTCAACTCTATAGTTTCGTATTTGTACAACATGACATATCACATCAATTGGGCAGGAAATTGGAGACTGAGGTCTATGGTAGCAGGGTTTTGGAGTAGTATCTTGGTCTTGGCCCTAGGCTAGAGGCTTAGCCTAGAGTACATAACTTTTTTTCGTTTTATTTGCGTCTCATTTTATAAGCGTGAAGGGCCACCGCATCTTGGATAAATCATTAATATAATATGATACCTTCGAGACGAGTAGAATCTCAATAAAAATATACCTACCTACAAAGAAAGTAAAGAAGTCAATTCAAAAATTATTGATTGCAGCATGGAGGTTGTACAGAATGAGACCGTTGTTTTGTTTACACTTCCAAGACGTGGTTTCCTGCCTACTGTCTGTTTCCTACAACGCCCTCACATTCGTCCAACTCCAGTCATCCCACTTGTTGCCTAAATTGTGGCACACACTGACAATGTAAGTAGGAGCATGGAGATAATGGTAGGAGCAAGAATGGAAATGTCAGCCTACTTACTTTTTGCAGTCCATGATGATTGACATTGTGACAAGAATTGTTTTAAGCTAGATTGTGCTACTGTAAACTTAAACCTACAATAAATGTAATTAAAATATTATATATATATATATATATATATGACAACATTCGTTGAGAGCTATGCTACACCTATTATCATGTCCTTTATTCGAACACTGTATTTACCTTTCATTGTTGGTTTATATAATTTAACAGTGTTA